ACGAAGGAGTTCATGATGCCCATGGCCTTGGACGAGATGCCCGTGTCGGGGTGCACCTGCTTCAGCACCTTGTACACGTAGATGGAGTAGCTCTCCTTGCGGCTCTTCTTGCGCTTCTTGTCGCCCTTCTTCTGCGTCTTGGTCACCGCCTTCTTGGAGCCCTTCTTGGGCGCGGGGGCGGACTTGGCCGGCTCGGGCATTTCGGCAACACTGCTCTACCTAGGGGAAGCTCAGTATACAAAATGGCCGCAGCGCCCGTTATTTATATAGACGTGTATGCAAATATCCGGTATCAGCGCCGCGCAATGCGATTGGCCCTTTCCGAGCCAGCGTGTTCCTGCCGCCGATTGGTCCCAACAGGATCCGTCCGCTGATTGGTTCTTTCGGCGGAGCCCGGTTCCAGCCAATGGCCGCGATCGCGTCCCGCCCAGGGAGGGGATAAAAGGGCCGCGGCGGTTGCGTCAGGAGGATTGAACCGATTCGCTCTGTGCCCAGCCTCGCTCCGCCAGCGCTTCCAGCCACCATGTCCGGCCGCGGCAAACAGGGAGGCAAGGTCCGAGCCAAGGCCAAGTCGCGCTCGTCCCGGGCCGGGCTGCAGTTCCCCGTGGGCCGCGTGCACCGGCTGCTGCGCAAGGGTAACTACGCGGAGCGGGTGGGCGCTGGAGCTCCCGTCTACATGGCGGCCGTGTTGGAGTACCTGACGGCCGAGATCCTGGAGCTGGCGGGCAACGCGGCCCGCGACAACAAGAAGACGCGCATCATCCCCCGCCACCTGCAGCTCGCCATCCGCAACGACGAGGAGCTCAACAAGCTGCTGGGCAAGGTGACGATCGCGCAGGGCGGCGTGCTGCCCAACATCCAGGCCGTGCTGCTGCCCAAGAAGACTGAGAGCCATAAAGCCAAGAGCAAGTAAATTTGGCGAGCAAAGCCGCTCAGACTTTGCACGACATAACATTTTAAACAAAAGGCTCTTTTCAGAGCCACCCACGTACTCAGAAAAGAGTTGTGTTGCTTTCTTTAAGAGGGTGCCCTGGTGCTGAGTCTTTATAGTACTAAATTTACCTCAAACGAACTTGTGTTTCGATTTTTTTAAAACTTTGTTTATACTGAAGAGGGTTGATACATTTGCTGTCTAAACCATGTTTCTAAATCAATGTTAGTATTTTTGTAATTGTTTCATTTGCTCATTGTTACATTTAGTAAAGAACTTGGTTATTCCGCTCGCCTTTCACGGTTCCACAGCTTGCATAGGGTGTAGAACACAGGACGGTGGCTACAGCACGGGTGGGAGTGGCAAAACCTGTGCAACATGAAGGTAAATAGGAGACTGTTGTAAAGCCCAAATGTAGATACATTAACCCTGAAAAAAGGCTTTCTTCATTCCCTTTGAAGGCCTTTGTTCTTTGCAAGATGCTAAATTCCCTATATGTTAAATATATGTATTTTCTATATATAAATATATTACACGTATGCTTAATATAAGTAAATACATGTCGTTCCCTATGTGTTAAATATAAGTAATATATTGTCACATATATATTAAATTTATGTAATATAAAATGAGGAATGCCTTAGCAAAAATGGCATTTGATCTACATCTCTACTTAATCAGATGTGCAATCTAAAGAAACACTGTAACACTTCCATTCTGGAGAATCTTATAGTGGTAGTATGCTCCCATTGTAAGAGGTATTTTCGAACTTTCTACTCATAAATTCACTGTTCATTGCTGCTACTCTTGTTGCATCAATTAACAGTGGGCAAAACTGAGTTTTCTATATTGTTGGCACAAATATCACCCCTGAGCACAACCTTAAATATTTTCATGTTCATTTTTATAAATTATGAGGAAAACTGGCTGATTCCTCTTGCCAGGACATTCCCAGCAGCCCCCTCTGATGGTCTGTATGTATCACACTGCACTGAGGTGATTGCTCTCATCTGTGCTGCACCTCTGCCCTTCCCATCCCCTGGAGAGGAGGAGGAGTGCCCTGGGCTTGGGGGAAGACAATTTTCCCACTCTGCCTCCTCAAGCTGCAGCTGAGAGGGTTTTTAGGCAGCATTGTGCCATGGCCAAAGCAGGGCATCAGGGATCCTTTGTGGAGGGAAACATAAAGAAGAATATAAAAAAAAACATAAAGAGAGCTGCTGGACCACCAGACTAAGCTGGTATCCACAGATGGTATCTGTGGTGGTAAAAGGTTTTGGTTTTAAGTGGACACATTTAGGGTTGTAGTAGTTTTATTATGCTGTTTTATTTACTATTTGCTACAGCTAAATATCTCCTGGCCCTTACACGTCTCTTCTTTAAAAACTGCAATGGTAATTAAAATTTCATTTTAACACACATGAGCCTTCTACACTTAGTTTCCAGAGGAGATTTCTGCATATGTGTTTGTCAGAAAATTTCAATCCCAGAATGGTTTGGGTTGGAAGGGACCATTAAAGGTTATCTCACCCAAACCCTGCTTGTGGGCAGGGTCACCTTTCACCAGCCCAGGCTATTCAAAGCCCCATCCTGCCTTACTCTGGGGATGGCATCCTCTAGGGATGGGGCATCCCCATCTTCTCTGGACAGCCTTGTTCAGTGTCACACATGCCTCCTTGCAAAAAAAATCCTTACTTATGTGCACTCGAAATGTGACGTCTTTCTGTTTAAAATAATTGTCTTTCCTGCTGTCCCTACAGGCCTGAAAAGTAACCTTTCTGTATTGAAAAGCTGTTACAAGGTTTCCTCAGACCTGCTTTTCCCTGGCCAAACAAGCACAGCTCTCTCAGCCTTTCTTCATGGGAGACATGATTTAGCCCTCTGATAATTTCTGTGGCCCTCTCTGGACCTGCTGTGACAGATTCCTGTCTCTCCTATGCCAGAGGATCACAGAGCTGGTGCAGCACTCCAGCTGGGGGCTCAGGAGAGCTGAGTGGAACAGGAGAATCACCTGCCTCCACCTTCAGTTCAGGCTGCTTCTGTTGCAGCCTTCGTTAGGATGGGCTTTTGGGCCACGAGTGTGTATCTCTAGGTCAGAGCACTGGGATTCCAAAAAAAAGGACTGTAGGATACAGATGTGAGCTGGCTTTCTCTGTGGACAAACTCCTGTATGTGGAGCTCAGAGCTGGCAGCACAAGAGAGGGCCCCATCTGCTGAGTGTGGAGCTAAGCCCAGTGCATCCCTCCAAATTCTTCCTGTTGTCTGACCAGGAATTCATTATTTGCTTCAGAATTTAACTCCAAACACTTATTTACACTCATTTTCTTCTCTGCTTAGTACCTGGAGTTTCATCCTCTGTGATGCTCAGATCCATCCCTGAACACTCCCTGGATTTTTCTTTGCTGGCAGTGCCTTCACCAGTGATGAGGTCTCCAGTGTAAAAATCCATTAAATGAGATGGATTAAATGGTAGGAGAGCTGGGAAATCTCCTGGTGTTAAAGACATCTTTCAGGCAATGTAAAAATCCAGTAAAATGAGATGGATTAAATGGTAGCAGAGCTGGAAAATCTCCTGGTGTTAAAGACAGCTTTCAGGTAAATTCCAGTGGATGAAGGAATGCAGCTAAGCAAGCTTAAGTAAATTAATTCATTTCATTTGGATATGCAATAAGCAGTAGGAAAGAGGAAATCCATATCACATGGTGCCTTAGCTGTGTCACTGGGTTGCAATGCACCTTCACATTCTAAAGAATCTGTGACAAAAATAAAAATCTGAACACCCAACCAAGGTCCCTTAAATGCTATGGATCACTGTTATGCTTGGGGATAACTCAGTGGTGTCAGTCTGTATCAAAAGACTTAAAAGTGCGTCGTTAAATATTTGTAGAGCTTTTCTAGCCCTTTTCATTTATATTGCTTGCAATTCTAGGAGAAATGCACCTATTAAGCAGCTCTTCCATTACTGTGCATATTATTGCACCTATTATGGCAGTTGCAGCAGATACAGATATGGATTTAAATTGTCATTCAAGCTCTCAAGAAAATTATGAGCAGCTTTGAAGCTGGTTACAATCCACTGATGCAATGACTTTTTTTACTAATTATGCACCCTCTTGTGTAGTCATGGTGAGATGTTGCCTTATTGTAATAAACAAATACAATTTCCTCATTATATTTTGATGAGGAGCTAGGGCAACTGTCCTAATTAATGCACACTTGAAAAGCTACAGATCTATATTTTTTTAAACAAGCTGAGTTTTGGAAAGGTTTCCTTTCTCATTTCAGCCCTGATGCCATGTGCCCAAATTTATGAGGAAAATGTAGTATCTAAAACATGTGAATTGGACATGAAACATTGATTAAAAAATAAATTATCTCAAATCAACAGTAGCAATAACTTTATTAGGGATTTTATTGAGCAGCAAAAATTTCTTTTTTCTCTTTTAAAATTATTTTTGCCTAAGAAAATGATCCATAAAAGAACTGAATTTATCCCTAACAGACGCACTTGTGAAACGTGTCTGTGTGCACTTGCAGCAGCACACAGGCAAGGCAGCCTTCCAGAAGGGATGATGTTAAATTGTACCTGATGTGCTACACTTACTGAGGAAAGGGATTTTCAGCTGTTTTATTTACTTTGGGCTGCTGGTCTCAGCCTCTCCATCACCCATCTCTGGCAGAAATCAAAGGTGATTTTCCAAGCCTTGCAGTGGTTATGCTGCTGGAAGGAAAAACTATACCAGGATCCTTGCTCTGCATTTAGGAAGCCTTAGGAATAAATTATTATTTTGACATACCAAAATATTTTGCATAATTTCTTTCAGGTTTCTTAAGTAATCAGAAAGCTGTTTCTAACCGCCTCAGGAAACATAGCTAGACACAGATTTTCAGATATGAAGAACAAAGCAGACTTTGTGGAGCCAAATGGGAATGTTGGGCACCAGCCTGGCAGGGCCACTACCGACAGATCTCCCAGTTGGTCTATAAAGGGTCTTACTTCATTCTGTTCAGTCAAAAAAGCAAACCTAATCTAAATTAAAGATATATTTTCCTCCTTATACTGTAGCAATTCTTTAAATTTGAAAGAAGAAGGAATTCACAGTGACATTTATAAAAATATTTGCACCTTTTTGTCACCTGCAACTGAAAGTATGACTATCTCAGTTGCATTTTCCCCCTGAATTTAGGGAATATTTTATTCCCAGAAATATTTTGGAGATGTTGCTGAGGTCCTCTACCTTATATTAAGGAATAAACATAAATAAATGACTGCACCATTTTTAAAGGATATGAAAAATTTTATAGTAGTAGGCATGTTTAAAGGACAAAATACTAAAAATGTAAGAATTGGCAAGCACTTTAGGCATATCAGTTCTGTGTGAGGATTATTTAAAATCTAAACAGATTTAATTTAGAAATACAGTCTCATGACTGTAATATTTTAAAACTTAAGATTTAATTTAGAAATACAGTCTCATAGCTCTCTCAGTATTTATTCATACACTTCACAAATACAGTCCAACGACCACTCAGCAGCATGGATGACGTGTTTTCTGCAAAAGGGTGAAACACATGGAAAAAAAATCTGGATTCCTCATTGAAATTAAAATTGTTTGGCTAGTGCTCATCCTTCAGATGTCATACAGACAGTTGTTTGTGATGTCCGTAATGCTTTCTTTCGCTTGCGGGGTCTCGGTGCCCTGCAGCGGATGCTCCTTCCCGAGGCCGGCGGCGGCCG